GACACCCCGACCCCAACACCACACCCCGACACCCCGACCCCGACACCCGACCCCCTGACCCCGTGAGCCCGTCATTGATTATAGTGATGATGATGATTATGCATTTATTGATGATACTGATCGAGATTATTATTGTACTTGATGATGATACACTTAAGTGATATACATATTATTATTCATGTCGGTATTTTTTTGCCGTTGTACTAATTTCGTTTACTCTTTGTCATGGCAGGTGTTGAAAGATGGTGGGCGCTGGTCGGGAGCGCTCCGAGGACCCTTCTTCGTCGGCGCGTGCGATGAGGTCCTCCATTCCACATGCACCTCTCCGCCGAGCGTTGCTAGACAGTATGGCGACACCGCCAGGCCCTTCTTCGTCGACCGCGGTGCCCAGCAGGGGACGAGGTAAGAAGAAGAGAGCAGCTGGAGCACGTGATCGCGGGAGAGGAGGTAGGGTGACTGCGAGGGCGCCTTCCTCGCCGCCACCCCCAGTTGTTTCACCCGAGCACGTGACTGCTAGGGTGGACTCATCCGAGGAGGAGGCTACACGGACTCCGGTCCACGAGCCTCCGGTCCACGGGCCTTCGGGCCACGAGAGTTTGGCCCACGAGACCCCGGAGGAACACACGTCTGGATGGGGTACCTGGCCGGATGAGCCTGAGGGGCCGAGTGGCCATGCTGATGATGGCGGGGAGCCGACTGATATTGACGAGGAAGGGGGCACCGTCTACCAGCTTGGTGCTACACGGCTCCCGGACATGCCGGCGACCCGCGAGTAGAGGTGGTTGATTTTCCCTGATGGGAGAGGTAAGTGCATTTAATCTTTTTGTACCCTTCTGCATTCACGTTTCTTCAAATATCTAATGCGTTGGCCTTGTACAGGGGTTGGGACCACCATCATAGTGTCCGCCGGCCCAACTCCGTCCTTGGAGTTCTTTGTCGGCAAAACTTCCCGGGGTTTGTTACGTTGCCTGGTGAGGGTCGGCTTCCAGAGCTTAGATTGAGTTGGGAGCACTACTTGGCTGCCTCGGCCCCGCCGGGTGAGATTATCGACGGTGTCTTGTGCAAGACAAGCCAACTGTGCTTCCTGGGAGCTGACCCATTTGGCCAGTTTGCCTACAGTGGCAGACGGCAAAGAGTGGTGATGTCATGCTGACACCACGCGGCGGACGGCAAAGGGCTGCCGTTAGCCACCTAACGGACTAACGGAGAAATTTTTGCCGTCTGCTTTCTTTGTCGTCCGCTGCGGATGGCAAAGGACCCTTTGCCGTCAGCCGCATAAAGCGGACGGCAAAGTAGCTGTTTGCCGGATCTTACTTTGCCGTCCATGTTTGCCGTCCGCGGCGGACGGCAAAGACCTTTGCCGTCCGCCATTCATGCCTTTGCCGTCCGCCGTGGCAGACGGCAAAGTAGCTGATTCCTGTAGTGAAGGACGTAAGATGTTATACTGTTATGGTTGCGAGCACCGCCTTGACCAAAGCGGGACAACCAGCAAGAGTGTAGTGCTCTCCCCGCCAAGGGAGGAACTGGCCCACAATCATTTTTTGAAAATGAGTTCTCTTCAACCGCTTGAGCGCAAGAGGGAGCTCGAAAAATCGGACATGAAATGTTGTTCTGGTTGCTGGTAAGCTCTGCATGATCTCTTCGAGGTTTAGGTCACGGCAGCGGGTGGGGCAAACAAGCTTCTTCCGAAAATTGGTCGGGAAAAGGCATTTACTTTCGCGTTCCATTCACAACGCGTATCTCGACCGTCCAAATCTACCCATGATGCATGTGAGAAAGCTGAGAAGGGCCCCGCTAGGACCCAGGCTAGTCTTGTCCATAGTAGGTGACGCTGTTGGCTAGTCTTGTCCAGTAGTAGATGATGTTGTTGCTAGATTCTCTTTACCCCTCCAGTTGCGGAATTAATTCATGTGATTATCTCTAGCCTATGTTGTTGGAAGTAATTTAAACATCAAAAAATTAAAATATTATGTTATTGAAATTGTTCTCAAAGAATGTTCTTTAAATAGTTTTAAATAGAACCAAATTTTGTTAAACTGGTATCTGAACTTTGCCATGACAAATAGAAGAACTTTTGGAAAACCCTGGCATAGCTTGCAATTTTTGAAAAATAGGTAGAGAACTTTTTAACCACATTTTTGGAACTTTGTCGCCAAAACTCAAAGAACTTTTCAATTTTTATTGGTTTTTTCAAAAGTCTTCCTGATTTTCATGGCAAAGTTCAGACACATCCTTCATAAAGTCTGACAAAACCTTCATAAAAAATGCATGTGCGTGAATTTTTTAGTGAGGCTGTGCGTTAACTTGTAATAAGCCCATAGTTCCTAGCTAATGACGTTAACCCGTCAAAAAAGTAACTAGTGACGTTAATTATCCACGCCAGATATAATTATGAGGCTGGCAGTGCGCAGAGCATGCACAGGACCTAGCTAGAGAAACGAATCTACTAGCCTGTGGCTGGTGCATGGCTGACACAACGGTGGGCCTAACTGATTGGACAGCATGCATGATGACCGGCTCGGATTCGCGCTGCATACAGAACGAGAACGAAAAAATCCGCGTCCAAATTGATCCTCAAACCGGCGAAGTTGCCATGTTATTTATGATGCTGACAAGGGATCAGATTATTTGTGGGTGAAAAGTTTAGAAATCCAAATGGGCGAAATTTTGGAGGGCCATACAAACATTCTAATTTTGAATTTTTTCAACGTAGAATGAATCTGAATCCATGGGCGGGGAGCTTTTTAAATCCAAGGTCAACGTAGCGTAGGAAGGCCATCATCATTGTGTGCCAACAATGTCAAACCTTTCTTTTCGGCAATGGCTTGAGTTTGACTCCAACACTCGTCTTCCTCCGCTCCGCGCGGCGAACATGGGCACCGCCGCACGCGTCGTCTCCCTCCCTCCACCTCGGCTCCCATGCCGGCCCGCGACCTCAGTCCCTTCCGCCGCACGCCGGCTCCCCCTCCCCGCGCCCCGAGGCCGCGCCCGCGTTGACCCCCACCCTCCACCACCGAAGGCGCCAACCCCCTTCTTCCACCTCCTGCCGCCCCCCTTTGCGTCCCCT